AGGTATAAATCCTCTTCTCCCCACTCCCCAGCTATGGCTAAATGGAAGGACAGACCTAGTTCTATAGCCTTGGATGACAACTGGTCTACCACAGAAAGAAATGGCAACCGACTGCGGGAAAAACAATCTGCCTCGTCAGTCATGTATCTTAAGATGCATGATTGCTTAAGCGTGTATCACGCATGGCACATAACTAAAGTGTTATGAACGACGGGGATCGAATCAATAAAATTCATTGATTCTGATTTAGGTCCTGCCCCTCCCCGCCTCGATTTCATTATATACATATCTAGAGATCATTTCTGAGATGCTGATTTATTTACACCACATATTCTAAATATTTTCCTCATCATTATGACTACGTTTCGGTCGTTATGCTCTCCGGCCTTCCTCAAGTGTATATCGATCTAGGTAACCTACAGAGAATTTTGTACGGAATGCATTATTTAATCTACTGGGGTAGACTGTTAATGTCCCACTGTCCATGTCTAGGGACATTGCCTAGTTCTTATAGTACTGCACGACCTAGGGAGTGAATTCAGAATCACTGTCACATTTCCAAGCCAACGTTTTAATCCACTAGGCTAATTCGCTGTAGCGAACTTTGAGCCTGTCTGCTGATTAATACTGCAACTGCTGCTGCTCGTCATGTTTGGATTGCTGCTGGCGAAGATTTGCTGTCATTTGACTTTTCTTTTATCCGCTGCTATATATTTATTTCTATACTAAGCCTACTAAGGAAGTACTCATAGCCTAACATATGCACTGCTTCTTTCGGGCTTTTAACTCTCTAGTGTTCTTCCTTATCAAGTACCAACCATGCCCGATTTCATTGACTTGACCGTCACTTCAACTTTTCGATATTCCTCCAGCTCTCTTTTAAAGAGTGGATTGTTTCACCATTATATTCTCTGCCACAACTGAAAAGAATCCAGTACACGGAATTTTGGCTCGTGTTTTACTACTCGGATTTCTCTATGGGTTGGGACTGCTTCTGAATATTGTTCTATAGACCGCGGATCTTCTAAATCTGTCTCGATAAGCTCTTAACGTGTAGTTGACTACAAAATAACTCCCTTTACCCACTCGCTTCAAATGCGGCTGAACTGAAGAAAGACACAAAGAAAATCACTTGTCTGTGCGAAATTTTATTTGGATCAATGAAAACCTTTCCGCATAAATTAGCCGTTGAACCGAGAAAGAAAAGAAAACCGCTAACCTATAAGAAATCTGATATAAAATGAGGAAAAAAAAGTGTATGAAGTCATGTGAAAAGTTTCGTTTGTTAAGGCGTTCAAGTTCTTGACAGTGTAAAATTATCTGCTTTTATCCAAGCACGTGGCACTTCAAAAACATTTTCTTCAATCCAAGAAAGCTATTTCAAACTACTTTTCGTCTACTTCCGAACAAATGCAACCGTATTTCTCTCCTAAACAACGAACCTTTTGTTTTTTTAAACACTTTAATATTTTGTCAGATCATTTAATCTGTTGTATGAACATTTCCTCTTCATGACGATTCGTTAAAACTGCGGACTTTAAAATTTTCTGGTTTATTTTCCTGAAACTACTTCAAACGTGGAAATTAGTAAATAAATTCCTTATTGTTAATATTTACCAGTGTGTTTCATCGTCATTATCATCCTCCACTAATCTTCTTGGCGTGGGTAAATCGGCTGTTGATTTAAATCTCTAAGCCACACTCATCTACGTAAAGTAGATATTGTGCAATTTTCTAGTCTTCCTTCTCGACCCTTCTAGTCCATCTGTAGACACCGGACGCTGATATTATTTTTGCCGAGTTAGGATGCTTATACTTAATATCAGGAATATTTAGGTTTCTGGGACACATAAGGAAGGAGGGCCTGGAGAATCTGACCCTCACGGGTCGAATAGAGGAAAGAGTGAAGGGAAAACAATGCGTGACATATCTGGCGGACTTGAGCAAGTGGATGACAGAATGTGGTCTGGGGGAGGAAGCAAAGAGAAGGAACTTGTTGAGAGCTGCAAGGGATAGAGAGGTGGAGAGCCATGATCGCCTACGTCCTGAAAGAACATGGCACATTTTGAAGCGTGCGCTTGATGCTGATTTTTTTTTTTTTTTTTGTTGGTATGAGTGTGGGTCGCCATTTATTTTTGACAAGCGTTGTGGGCTTCGAATGATCCCTTTCATCAAATACTTATAAAGTAAACAGGGGGTTCAGTTCAGAATTATGTACACCTGAGGACGGTCGGAGGGCACAATGGCCGACACATACCGATAACACCAAAGATGAAGACAATAGTCAGAATATAATGTAAATAATCTAAAGATCATTCGAAAGTTCGGTTTCACTTATCATTGGCTCACGATTAGTGACCTTATATTCTTGTTGAAACAGCTTTCGTTTCTGATCCACTCGTTATACTAGGATGTTTAGATCCTGGTCGGGACGACTTCTGATTGGTTGATCAAAATGACTTCATGGCATAGCAATTCTGAATATACATCTATTTTTAGAGATGGTGAAATTTTGATCTTAATTATTTGTATCTTCTATCACTAAATTTTTTTCTTTTTAGAAAATATAAGAAATCACTAAAATTACACAATCAAAAAGAACGAACTTATGAAATTATCTCCCAAGCTACGAAGAAACTCGTAACGGTAAGTGGTCGTTGGATTTTTTCAAATTTCGAACTTTGGGATTGATACAGAGCACAACTTTAAAATCTGAAATATAAAAACTTAAATGTTGTAACTCGCCGATGTATCTGTAAAACTGGATCTGCGACATTCAATTTTCATGAGATTGTATTCACTTCACGCTAATTCTCTTTGGAAAGGCATAAACCATCTTTTTTCCTGACATAAAAACTGGGCTGCTCCTTGGGTTGGCAAGTAGTTGAATTACAACTCTTCATTCAAAAGCATATTATAATCTGATGATCAGAAAATTTAGTAACTGTCAGAATCAAAACCCGACCCGAAGAAATGGACGAACTATCAACGGCCAACTAAAAATTGTCTGAGTAAAACTCCCTCCGCTACCGGGTATGACGATAAACTACATCCGGCAGCAAGGCCCCTTTTATTGGGTAAATGGAGGTTTTGAGTAACTTGGAACCACCTTGATTGCTGTTACCATGTCCACCCTGACGATGTGGTAGCACCTGTTGCAGCCCTAGCTATGGGTAAATAGTGACCCCCCCCTTCAAACAAAACACTATGAAAGCATAAAAACATAATAAAATGACAAATATAATTACCAAGTTTACATTTTGTAGCGACAGGGTCAATACATTTTCTGTAGTTGAAGACAATATATTTAGTCGAAACCATAAAATTGTTCAGAATATTTAGATTTCGGCATTAGATAACTCCTAGAGGTTGATATGCCACTAAACAATCAATAAACCAACCCTCTACTACCATAAAGAAATACACCTGAAAAAATTGTGGATTGAAACTAGTAATTTTCGAGTTTTATGAAAGTAAAATTACTAACTAAAGATTCGATACACTTGTTTGTTACTACATCCGTGCGTTCCTTATAAAAGCAGCAGTTACTTTTCTAGGAGAGTCCACCTGGCAAAAGAACGCTGTGTTACTGCATTTGAGTTAAAATTAATGCGGTATGAATTTCTCGGTTAACATGCCACTTTTTTTTATTGAGTTAAACTTTGAGCCTTTTAAACTTTATTCCCAAGCAATTTTCCGTACGTAATGTTAAAATCACACTTTGCGTCAATTAATCCCTGTAAGAGATTCTCACTGAACACAATGTTCACGTTCTTTTGATATAACCAAAACTTTATGCAATCGGTTTTAGATTGTCTTGTAACTTTTATGAACGAAATGATTCGAAAAAAATTAATTTTCGTCAGTTCAAGTCGACTGTCGGTGTTTCTTTTGCCAACTCTCTTCCCGCCTGAATTTTAAGTTAGTAAAATGTTTGGAGCTTTTGATATTGGCTAGTTTAGTCTAAATTTATCCGTTTCAATGTCCTTGGCCAGTCCAGGGTTTAAATTTCCAGTATTCTAATCTGATTTCTCCTAACACTGTCAGTATATAGGAAATAAACCCGATTTCCAACACATGTCATACTCGCATATATACCATATTAAAAAACCCAGCTCAAACTTTTTCTACCCAATAACAGACATTACAAACGTGCAAAAAAATTCCGCAATACAACTTAAACTTGTCTCTTGGTTAGAATTATCATGTGAAATATTTGCCCAGTCAAACTAAAACCTTTTTTAGCTTTTCTGGAAAAAAATTATCGAAACCTACAGATTTCGACTTGTAAATAGATGCGACTGCCTCCATGCCGTTCACAGGCGTAGCTTCCCACTCCCCATCACGCGCTGAAAGAAACACATCGGCGACTTCAAACGAATTGGCTACAACAGTATGGCCGACCAGTCGGCGACTTCAAACTAATGATCTCAAACAACAGACTGTCAGTGAATCTTCGCTAACGATAGTTTCTCTTAAACTACAATTTTTTTTTTTTTTTTTTTTTTTTTCCTGTGGACCAATTATCCAAAGACTTTAACCCCAAAAAACTATTTGGTACTACTTTAGCATGCGGTCTACCGCAGTAAGTACTACTTTCGAAGATAACGAAGTACAGTCCTGTATTCTCCCTATGTCATGCTTTCGATTTTTTTTTTTTTTTTTTTTTTCATGACGCAATCACATTGATTGTAAGGTTCTGCGGAGATAAAAGCATACTTGACAGAAAATAAACTTGCAAAAATAACAGGAAAACCTACACTCCTTTTTAACTCTTGTATTTCTGTATGTATATTTGTAAGTACAAGTAATTTATTTAATTAGGCATATCCATGTTTTCTTTACTTTATTTTTAGATTCGGACGTTCGGATTTTTAATAAAAAAAATCTGGACGACTGAATTTCCTAAAAATATAACACTGAATAGCATATCCACTTTAGTTTCTCCGTACACAATGGTGTCGAAGATTCCACTCTTAAAACTCCATAGTTTGCTTCAGTTACAGAAGCTACTTTCTTTACTCTTCAATATTTACAGATCATTGAAGAATGTTTCGACTATGAAAAGCCCTTCGAACAGTCGTTAGCTGAAACGATTGCTGTTAAGGTGAGTGGTTTTAAAAAGGAAAAAAAAACATCTGTACACATTTTTTTTTTCTATTTATTTTTTTTTTTTTTTTTTTTTTTTTATAATCTTTGAATGAGTTTGTAGTGTGTGAAATAACTACTTTTACCCATTCCTGTAGAGAGGGCCGTGGCGGTTACGGTTTGTTGTGGGAATGGCGGTTGCCACTTGTTGTTGATAGAAGTCGGACGTAGAAGAAACGCAAGGTTCAGATACTCCTGCCCGCCGAGCCCAACTACATAAAAAGGTTGGACTTTGATTAAGTCCAAAGAAGGAAAAGAAAGCAAACAAAACAAGACCGATAATGTGTATATACAAATATATATTAACATGTTACAATACATGGAAACGGTACAAAGGACGAAGCGTGTGTGAATATTCTGTATGTGCGTGCGTGTGTGAATATTCTGCGTATGTGTATATTGTTTAGCGTGTTTCCACTCTATTCCTTGTTAGCGACTACATTTCGAGGTTGATAGTTGAAATCCTCTACGAATAAGAGAAATTTACCTCGAGGTGTTGGTGCACAGGCCTGAAAGGAAAAAGAGATCGAGGCGAAGGGTCATTGGCTATTTATAGCCAGGAAAGAGACCCCTGGTGAAAGGGTTACGAACTGAAGGAGTTAACTCCGACATTCCCTTCAAACTCTGTGGACTAAGGGAAAAGACAAAAATTCGCGAGCCTGTGATATTTTCCTCTTTCTTTGAACCAATGAAAACCTTGTCTTCACAGAAACTAGCCATTAAGCTAAGAGAAACTAATGAGCCTATGCGATTCATTTTCATTTTTTTATAAAATGAGAATTAATAAAAGTGAGTCATGTACAAGGTTTCGTTTCTGTCCAACGTTAGTTTTCGCCAGTGTAAAAAAAATACTCTCCAATTTATCTTTTCGTCTAATTTTAAATGCATGCAAATCATATCCTTTCAGTGAGCAACGAACTGTGACATTTTGTCTTAAACTTTTCATTTTGTCATATAATTTCTAATCTATTGTATGAACATTTCCTTTTCATGTCAATTCGTTTAAAACTACGAACTTTAATAAAAAATTTTGACTTTATTTCCCTGAAACTAAATACTGAACGAACTTCATGCGTGAAAATTCGAAAATTCCTTATCTTTTTTTTTTTTTTTTTTTTTTTTTTAAATTACCCGTGTTTACTCACATCTCCATCTTCCATTAATCTTCTTGGCGTGGGTCAACTGTTCATTTTAACCCGAAGCCCTACGCCACTATAAGCTCGTTATTGGCTTCAAAATTTAACTTTCCTTTTGGCCAATATGAACTTTCCCTACTCGCTTAAGTCTTTAAACCAAATAATTTCTTTAACAAAATTTATTTGTTACGTTCATTAGCAGAAATCCAACAGGTATGTTGATAAACATAACATATTGCGAAAATTTGTGATTCAAGGGAGGTAACTCTGTATTAATTGTACACAGGGCAATTGTCATTTCTTCCTTGACTGAAAAATTTCTTTGTAATTTCAAAGATTTTAAAAATGAAACTTAAATTTTTATTTCAGTTTTAACTTCAAACTAATAGATTAAATTTGATATTCCTAATAAGCAAATACTTTGCAATTCAAACGGAATTTAAATTGATTGAAATGTCTTTGAAATCATTATCTATCAACCCATTCTCTTCATTAAAAATTATTCAAAAATAAAATATACTCCTGAAACATTGAGGAAGGTTAGCTGATTTCAAGTTCAATTAATCTGATTTGAAAAATGTGTGTGGCTTTTTTTTTTTTTAAATCCCAAAAAAAGCACTGTTATGAAGAGTTGACAACTCTCAAATTTGCATTTGGGATTTTTTTTCTGTGGTAGGGGACAGAACTTTAAAATTATTTTAATATAATGTTCTATTTATATAATTAACCACCCAGTAATGTAAAAAAACAAAAAACAAAAAAACAAAGGTTTCTAAAATAATTTGAATAAATCCTGAAAGTTTCAAAATTCGACAATTCTGATTTTTGCAAGAATTTCCAGATCTTTTTTGCCATAAAAAGATGCTAAAATTGCCCATACTAAGTTATGCTTACTAATTGATGCAAGAAAAACAATTAACAAATCTTGAAGGTTTTAAAAAGCATTAAAAAAAAAAACAATTGAATCCTTTGGTCTTTCCTTTTAAGATTTTGGTAAAGTTTGTTTTAAGCTTGAGGCAGGTTGGTTTTTTTTTTTTTTTTTTTCTCTCCTCGTGTGGGTTCGTACATGTCTTTGCCAAAAGCACTCAGTAGGGGGCACACTTTAAGCTTATAAAAAAGGCAATTGTCACTTTCCCTCTTAACGCTTGCTCCCAGATGTAGTCCTCTGACTCGCATACAAACAGTTGTTTCACACTAGCAAGCACATTCTTATTATAGCTAGTCTTAATGTTTCTCCTTATTATAATTGTGCACCCATATAATCCCTTTTTGGTAATAACATGAATTGTTTGTTTTATATTCATTAAGTTTTTTTTTTTTACCTGGACTCTCATTAAGTCTGCCAATATTGTTAGTGGAATAAATTTTGCAGGAATCCCATAAATATTTCATGTACAACATACATGCACTCATATCCAAAGTGTTGGTTTTCACAAAGTGGTGACTTTTTTTCTACCCAAACATACTACTATCTTGCTATATATATTATCCTCCAAATGAAAGCTTTTCAATTTATACAGGATAGCGACCAGTTCATTTGGAGTTTAAATATACCATCTTAGTCAGAAACATGGTACTGTCCGATCAAATTCCCAAAACCACTTATTTAATTTTGGATCTTTTTGAACAAGTTTTAGTGATTCCAATCCTATTTATGTATGGGTGTTTCTTATATCCTATACTGGTTTAAACAATTTGGAAATTCTATTCTATTTGTATGCCCAGGTTCCTTTTGGAACTACTGTCATCTACCAATGTGTAAAAAAAAAAAAAAAAAAAAAAAATTTTTTTTTTTTTTTTATTGTTGTATTTGTGGGATTCTAATTTTTCACTTTTAATCCAGGTAGACTGAACTCTAATACAATAAACAAGTTAACTGTTCAAAAATCACTTCAATTTAAAATGGTTTAGTCATAACAGCAACTGACACTTGATCAGTTTCAATAAGCATTTGCACATTTAAATTCTTTTTGTTAGAAGCAATACTTAACATTTTATTGGCTCACTCTTCTGTACCTGAATGATCATGGATCTCTGCAACTTCCTATCCTCCTCAGTACTAAGCAATGTTTGACCCTTTTGTTCATGTTCTGCCATCCATTTACATAATCATTCAGTATGATCATTGTTTCCGTCTGCTCATCTTCTGCCTCCAGTATGTCTTGTGAATGTTAAAATTCTCAAGGCTCCTTTCCTCATTTGTTCTGGAAATCTCAACTCCCTTTCTGATCCTAAGCAACTTCATTTTTCCTTTCATGTTTTTTATTCCTTCATACAGCCATATCTGTTGCCTAAATTTTCCTCTTCATCTGAGGAAATTCTCCAGTATTCACTTCAATGTAGAATTGATGTTAGACAACTGAAAACTTATTTTTAATGAAATTTACCTGTTTCTTACAGTCTGGCCTCTTTAATCCAGCACCCCTGGGATCAGACCACAGAAAATGCTGAATGACAGAAGTTACACCCCCTGTCTAGCTACCCAAATAAAAATCCTATGTAAAGTCTTACAGCTCATTCTACATATTGCTATGTTATCGAAGGTAGAAGAAAAGCTTAAAACTAGGGAAATAAAACGACCATTAATGCTTCCAAACAAGGTTTTTGTTTCATGCAATACAAAAGCTAAAAAAAAGCCTAAAAATCCCAAAATATATAATTACTATCCTGAATAGGTAAATATGCAGCTATACATAAGCAGGTCAGGTGTGTACTATCCTCAAAGCAAACCCGGAGTGGTGGGAGAGCCCAAGACTGATTGGGGGCCCCAGACAGTGCATTGCAACCATCGCTTTATCAACATTTTCATTTTTCTATCTACATTAGTTACAAATTAAACTAAGCACAATTATACTTTTTCACATTGACTTTTTTTTTTTTTTTTTTTTTTTTTTTTTTTAACCCATAATGTTGAACATGTTAGAATTTTTCAACAAGAAAAATCTCAAGTTGTTAGAAATTGCTGCAGAACATTGTTATATGTATATCTTTTTAATTTGTATTTAGATACATTGTATTTATTTCCAATTTTTCTAGTTGAAGTGGTCACCTATATTGCATAATTGTACATATTTAGGTTACAATACTACCTTATGAAAATGGAGATATAGTGTGTATGTATGTGGGGATACCAGCCCTGATTGGAAAAATTAGCTAATTGCCAATCAATTCAAATTTTTATAACATTTCTTTTATAGTTCACTTATTTTAATACTTTAGTAAATGTTTATAAATAAATTTTCATATTGGTAAAAATGAAGAATATTGCTTTAGTTTTAATAAAATTGCATTAATTTTTAGAATATTGTAAATTATAAAATTCTTTTAAATAAACAAATTAATAGTTTCATATATCTTGTAAATTCTAAAGAACAAAGAAAATGTATAAATTCACTTCTAATCATTTGCTTTTAAAACAAACATTGCTGAAGAATTAATGTACATAAGTGGTGTCAATGTGGATAATAAACTTGCATTTTTACACTTTCTTCGTGGGCACAATTTCCAAGATTGCCAGACTGTTTTCTTAACTAGTTTTGGGCTAATAAGATTTTTGCAATGATCACAGAATCAAGTCATCTTGAGATTAATTCACTTCTGTATGTGGGGAGTTAGGGAACTAAAATTCTGCATAAATTTAGAGTTGACTAAAATAAACAAATTAAATGCTTGAATTATAGCAAACATTATTAGAACATTCTGTTCATCAATTTCAGACAAAAAGCTTTTTATTGAAAATTATAAAATACGATATACCTACTGAGTGAACATAACTTTAAATAAAGCTAATTTTTTTAAAAAAAAACTTAATGCCATTTAAAACCAATAGCAAATTATTAATCTGCTTTTTTTTTTTTTTTTTTTTCTTAAGCATGTATACTTGGAAATTTTTTTTTACTCACAAAGTAATAGACATCCAAATAGAACTAAGCATTTTTCTGTTAAATCTTTACACATATTTAATATTGTCTGGGTCACCTCAGCATGGTGTAAAGCTTGTTAGAACAATTACAACTGAGTAGCAAGGTTAATCTTCACTGGATGCCCCATAGTTTTGGCCTTGTGCCACATCTAAGCTAATTGTCTATCAAGTAGCTAGTCAGAATAGCATTCTGTCTTAGTAAGAGTTAAAATTTTCCTGTCTTATAAAAACTCTTCATAAGATGCTGCACTAAAAATCATGAAAATTTGATTTATAAAATTTGATTTTTCACTTTTCCTTTGTGGCCAAGTTGAATCTATTTACTAACCCTCTACCTTGAGGGAATCTTGGGCATTCTAGAGAGCATTTTTTTTATTTTTAAATTTAATCATTTAATTTGGATAATAAAAAAAATCTACACTTAGGAATCTGTAAACAAAAATAAGTGTAAGACAAGGACAAGTTCGATATTTCTTAAGTCCTCCTGCACATTTCTTGAAGTCAATTATTTCAGTTTTCTCCTCAACTGTTGGATTGTTACCAAAATTTACTTTGTGTATCATCACCTGTATATTTCTACAGATATTTTAAAACCAGAATGTTTGAGATCCCCCTCCCTAACTTAGAATCAACTTGCACATGCCTTTGCATAATAAATCATTACCATTCTAGTATCATTTACTTTTTGAAATATATCAATGCCAGAAATAGTTCAGTAAGTTAGAGGTGTATACTCACTGGAGAGTATTGCAGTCAGAAAGTTTAGGATCAACTACTCCTGCTGCTTCAGTAAGTTTCATCTTGATCAGTTTGATAGTCTTAACCGTGTGTAAGACTATCAAAACTTAGCTATAAACAAACTGTATGAAAATTTTCAAGGTATAATTTTGATTGAGATTGTCTCTTCATGCACTTATCACTAGTATAATGAACTAAGAACTTTATAAAATAGATTTAAATTTGTCAAATCTTAATCTTTACAATTTCTTTTCAGAATTGTCCTTTGAGCAGTAAAGAGCAGATTCTGTTGTTCTCTAAACACTTGACAAAAGTTGAAGATTGTATAGCAGTCTTTAAAGAAATTGCCCATGGTCAACATGTGAGTACACCTTAAATGTATTCTGGAGAACTTGTTTGTTAACCATTATCTCACCTGTTGATAATGTAGTTGGAAGCTTAAAATAAGTGTAAGAAGGAAAAAAAAAAAAACTGGATTTTACACCATAGGTAAAACTTTATGGTAATTGTTTGCAATTAATAACCTAAGTTGATGTGAAGTCTGGATAGCCAAGATATGTAAATTGGATTTTTCTAGTATGTTTCTTTTGTTAAAACATATGTCTCATATATATATATATATATATATATATATATATATATATGGAAGAGGTTATAGTAGTCCCAGCAAGAGAAAAAGTGTGTATATTAAAGAGAAACTGCAAACGTTTTTGGTTATATACAAAGACTAGCCTTAAAGAGCATCCAAAAAAATAACCTGATTATAAAGGCAGTGCTATAGTGATCATGGACAGAATATACTATAAAACAAAAATTCTAGCAACACTAGAGGATAAGAACTACAAATTAATTGACACTAACATAGACAAAAACATAAAAAATTACAAAACTCTGTACAACACAATAAAATTTTAACAAAAAAGGATTTTCTAATAAACTTTGTATCAAAAACGAGCAGTTTATAGGACTACCTAAAATTCACAAATTGAGTGAAATGAAAACAGCTATCCAGACACAAAAATCTGAATACATTAGTATCCCAAACCCAAGTGACCTTACATTCAAACCCATAGTAGCAGGACCAGCCTGTCCACCTAGCAAACTCAGTAACCTATTAGACATAATATTACAACCACTTACTAAGCAAATTAAAAGCCACATAAGACAATATTCACTTCCTTAGCTGCATACCACAAAAAGTATATCTTGGAACACTTATGGCAACTTTTGACATTAGTAGCCTATACAGCAACACACCCCATGAATTAGGTAAAAAAGCAATCTCATTCTGGATTGAAAAACATCCTGGAATACTACCTCACAGATTCACTAAGACGTTCATTATTGACAGTATAGACCTAATTCTAAACAACAACGCCCTTTTTGAATTCAACAAAAACTATATCCAAACCCTAGGTACTGCAATGGGAACAAAAATGCCACCCTAACATTAGTTTACCTAGAAGAAAACCTATGAAAAGATAGAACTAATATGGGAAAATATAAAAACCCAATTCACTATGTCTTAAATGATACATGATTGCTTCATTTTCTGGAAATCCTCATCAGGTGATATTAACCAATTCTACACTCTACTTCAAAACTTACACCTAAAAACCAAATTCATGCAAGAATATAATTTCAATGAATTACCATTTTTTTTTTTTAGATACTCATTAGAAATAAAAACAACCACATAATCACAGATATCTACCACAAACCTAGACACCCAACAATATCTTCATTTCAAGAGCCATCACCCAAAAAGCTGCTTGAAATCCATCTCTAGCATGTAGGGTTTGTACTATAGCGACTAATAAATGCCTCTGAAAAAACCTGTCTAAAAGAACTACCTAAAACTTAAAAAAATGAGGCTACCCCACAATGCTAATAAACAAAGGTTTTGAACTCTAAAAAAAATTCCTTTAGACCAACTTTGAAATAAAAAATGTAACGTCGAACAAACTCTAGCATGTCTCAACATACAACAAAAACAATCCAGAACTATTCAGAAATTACAAAAAAATCTAGACCTACTTAGCAAGAATAAACTGAAAAATATACGAAAAACCAAAATAATTAAAAACTGACCACATGAACATGTAATTTCTTAGTGAAGTGGGGGGTTACAGGGTAAAATGAACAGTTAATTTACCCATGCCAAGATTATTGAAAAATGATAATGAAGAACCAAATGGCTTTTTTTAACAAGATAAAGAATTTCACAAATTTACATGCTTGTAGTGTCAGTAGCTAGTTTCAGGAAAATAATTCTTAAACCCCCATAGTTTTACTGTATTGTCATGAAGAGGAAATGTTCATACGACAGTAAATGATCTGACCCAAAATAATAAATGTTTAAGACACAGGTAAGTTTGCTCACTGAAGGGATATATGGTTTGCATACATTCAAAAGTAGACAGTTTGAAATAATTAGGTTTCTTGAATTGAGAGAATTCTTTGAAATGCTGGTTAGAGGCTGATAATATAATTGAGTAATTTTACTTCAACACTGGTTGTGAGTAACTAAAACTAAATCTTTCACATGAGTTCAGATGCTTTTTGGATTAATTTAATTTTTCTCATTTGATATCGAAACAAATTTTGCATAGACTCATTACTTTCTTTCCCTCTTAACTCACTAGATAATTTCTATGAAAAGCAAATTTCATTAACCAAAAAACAATTTCACATGCTCAAGAAATTCTTTCCTCCTTCCTCAGTCCTACGAATTTGAAGGGAGTGGGTGAAAATTTTATTTCACACATGCTAAAAGTTCTTGAGAGATGGTTACCTCCCTTACATTGTGGATGCTTGTTTACAAAAAAAAAATTATAACTACAATGGTTAATCTTAAGATAAGTGTGTTCACAAAACTTGCCATCACAACAATCAGTTACATTAAGTTTGTCTTTGCAATTCACTCCTGAGAATGAGATACTTTGGTTAACAGGATTAACTAAATGTTTTTAATTAAAACTACCAAATTGTCTGTTTTAACAAAATATAGAAATTTTTCTCTTATGCTCAGATCAATGTATTTATGTCCAGAATAGAATATTGAAAGGGACTTAGTATAATGAAGCAAGAATGTTACAAAATAATTCTCAAATGTTTATACAGATATTTTAGTCAGAACTTGTATAGCATTCCTCTGTTCATATTTGGCTATTTATGAATTTACTTTTTCTTTCTCTTAGCTCACTCCGGCAATGCTCATGGTTCATGTTCAGAGGATTGCCTTGAGTATCCTGCATGATTATAGTTCTTTGATTGGTGAAGAAGTGAATGATATGTGTTCTTTTCTTGGAAATGTAGTGCAGACTATGAACATCAATACAAACACAATCAATGTAAGTACAAGTGTCTCTCTTCCACCACCTCCCCTTCTAGTGATTTAACATTACATTTGTACCTCCCTTTTTTTTTTTTTTTTTTTTTTTTTTCCCTCTATCTCTCAACCTTGATGTGGCCATGACCAAGTGACATAATTACTGAAAATGAATTTTAATTGTGTAAAATTTAAATGATAGTAACACAACTTAGAAATATTGAAATTGTTTGGGAAATGTTTAACATGCATATCGGCAAAAATAATCAGTATCTCCAAAGACTCTTCTATTGATGCTAGAATTACTGTATATTATTTTTTTTTTTTTTTTTTTTTTTTTTTTTTTTTTTCCTCAAATTGATAAGAATTAAGCCATTTTAAAAAAAAAAAAAGTGAGGATCTTTTCTGTTAATTCACCCCAAATTAAAAATACACTCTTGTTCAAGACCCTTCCATTGCATTTTTTTTTTTTTTTTTTTTTGTTGGAGTTGTTGCAAAGCAAGCAAAAAAAATTGATTCAATTTTGAACTTCTTTGTGATAAGTAAAGGGGGTGAATTAACCTGGAAAAAAAAAAAGCCTGAAAAAAAAATGCATGTGATATCAATATATTGAGGTTTGTTTTTATAAAAAAAAAAAAATTCACATTACATATATGGAGATATTCCTGTGTCTGGAAAGACCACATTTAGGACTACAGATGCAAACTGGATGGATTAATCTGTTTCAGGTGAAAACATATTTCACAAATGGGGAAACAGCAAGTCTTTAATTTTACCAAATTGAGGACTGTGAGCTGGAGTTTTCTTCTATATCTGGGAAAGATATATTCCCAAAAGGAAATGGCACCATGGCCTTGTAAGCTGCTAGAGAGGCAGATTTAGCCTCTCCCCAGACCAGTGGGTACTTGGGCTAAAGAAAGCAACTTCTCGGTCTTGTTAATGTCTACAAACTGAAATTGACTACAACTTTCATCACTAGCGACATCACTAAGCTGTCATTTACGTTACCCACATGACTTATCTCCACCGAAGGGTGATAATTGCCTTCCATATCCCTAGTCTTGTATAAAAGGATTACCTGCTCTTGGAAACAATTTAGACCTTGGCAAAAAAAAAAAAAAAAATGGTTACTATGTTGAATGAATTCCAACTATGGACTTGGACATGCATAATGACTGCCTGCTACATAACCAGTAAGCTACAGAATAAGTGGTGACAAAATGAGAAAGCCAGATATTGTTTGGAAATGAAAACTTCTAAACAAGATATGATAGGATAAGTCTAATTAATAGCTAACTTCTGTAGTGTTGTTTCTTTTGGTAACTTTACTCTTGCTTCTGTTACACAGGAAAATGACCAGAAACGGACAGTAGGCATTTTCTATGGTCATGTTAACAACAACACTTTATTGGAACATGATGATCAGACCTTTCTCTATAAGGTAACTATATCTCCATCCCTTTTCACTACACGGAAATTTAGAGTACAATTAGAGGCACTATTTGGTAGCTGTATATTTCCCTGTTTTCACCAGGGAAAGCCAAGAATTGAAACATTACATAGATTACATATAATTTTCCCTCCAGATTGATTTAAAGAAGCTGTTTAACATCTATCCTATAGGATACTCCCCCCCCACTCCACAAACAAGGTACATAAACACTAATCTTAAGAATCAAACCTTGCAGCTAATTTGAGAACCATTCTTGATCCTTAAGTCATCTCTTAAGACTATTCTACTTGGCCAGTCTTTTTGGCAGGTCAGTGACAAGTCTTTTTGCTTGCACAAGAGTAGGACTTTTTTTTTTTTTTTTTCTTAATACTTAACTCTAACATTCTAAGGTAGTTAGAATGGTAACTTAAGGAACATAATTTACTTGTCCAATCTTCTATTTAAACATTTCAATTTAAATGCAATTGAAATTTTTTTAATCAATCCTTTGCAAGTTATTTACAGCTCAATATTTTAGATAAGTCTTTTGGGAGATAATGATTTAGTGATTAATTTTACTAATTAATCCATAACTGGGGAGAAGAGTTGGATTCATACCTTTTCCAAGAGTATTTGTGAATATAACTAACACAACTGGAATTGGAACTTGGCTCAGAATTGTTAATTGGAGAGCTATTATATATTCTATATGCACATTTGAGCTTATAGCACTTGGTATGTCCAATGCAGTTGCTCATCTAGATACTGAATAGGCTTGACATTGCTTAAATTTGATCACCCAAGAACCAGGGTTTTAACATAAGTAGTGCTGGATTTACCTATAGGCTTAGTCTGATGCATGGGGCCTCCAGACAAATTCAAATCTTTTTGACAGTCATAACACATTGTAGACACTAAATAACCCTTCAGTAATTTTAAACATCTGTCATCCTCAGTTCAACTCAAATTGTTTAATTTAACACTTTTCCATTTTTCTCTACTCATGAGAGAGCATGATTTTGAGGCGCCTTACAAGTGGAATACCTAGGGCCTCCCTTCATCTAAATCCAACCCTAGCAATAATCAATTATATTTTATTACTTCAATTTTATTGAGTAGAAAATCATGTGGAACAATTTCTATTTTCTCTTATAAACTACAGATCTATACTTGTAAATTTTACAAACTAGTGAATGTTTATTTACAGCAAGGATGGAATGCAACTGTTGCTTACCTGAGCCAAAGAGAGAACCTGGATGAACTTGCTACCCAGATAAACTCAAATTGAATGTGAACATGTGTAGACGCAGAATCAATGACTTTGTTTGTTAAAGATTTGAATAAAATTAACAAACCCTTAAGTGAATTAACTTTTTTTTGTTTATTTTCCCTTATTTATGAAATCAAACTTAGAACTGAAATTGGCACAAATTAACTGATGTTATCCTGGTGCCAAATTTCACAGAATATTCCACTGGTGATAATGGTATGAGATAGATTCCTGCCCAACTGTTGGATGGTTGAGCCATCTTTCTTCAGAACCAAGAACTTTGAAACTAATTTCAGACCATGATAATTGTCAACCATCTTATTTGGCAATGCACTTTGGCCTACCATGAGGGATGTTCTGTGTGCCACTCACTTTAAGATGAAAGTTTTGGAGACCTTTTTATCCAATCTTATCACTTTGTGTAAACAAATAGGAATGGTTGTTGGGTTTTGATGTGATCAGCTTATAATATAAATGTTTATCTTGATGTACACTGATTCAAATCACTGCACAACTATTTGATTTCTTCAAACACTGAGAGAAACAATAAAACAGTGCACTTTGAAATATTTTCCTTTGTGCTTTTCATTGCCATTTATCTTTTTATTCTTTGTCCACCCTCCCCACTTAAAAGGAAAAAAAATACTGCTTTCCCATTTCCACTAAATCCACTAAGTATGTATTGCCTGACCTAGGAATTGGTAATATGAATATAAATGATAATAGCAGCAATGTTAGGTATTGCAAATTTCAAGCTAATAGTTTATTAGAAATATTAAATTTAAACTATCACTTTTTGCATTTCAAAAGTAATTTAAATTGACTGGATGTTTTTAATATTGTAATTGATTTTAGTTTGTGGTTTTTTTTTTTTTTTTTTTTTTAAAATCAGAATATAACTAAGTTTCCTAAAATGAAACTTACTTTTCTGAAGTTTTATTTGACAAATATTAGCAAATTTTAAAGTTTTTGATTTGAAACCTATTACTTAGTTTAAAATTTTTTTTTTTTTTTTTTTTTCTCTTCAATAATTAAGTACTCTAAAATCTTAAATTTTGGACAATATTCTTCACAAGGACTTATCAAATGTTATACACTGGCATTGAATCTATTATAGTTATTGCTATTTTCTGATGTCGTGTATGAACACTTGTATCTGCAAAAATTAGCACATTTATACATATGCCAAAAAAAACTCCTTAAATACAGGGATCACTAAATTGCAACTAGCTTTTTTGATTAGTAAATAGGTGATATTGTTTAATAAAAACAAACGATGACAAATTATTATAGAAATTCATTATTCATATAAAAAATTATTCTTAGGACAATCTTTTTCATAAGAGCTGTTCTAATTAAGTGTTATTTTTATTTTACAATTTGGAGCATATTTTTGGTAACTAGGGTCCTGTTTTACAAGAAATTAATTTCTCAATTTCATAAGTCCTAAAAGTTTCATTAAAATTGGACAATTCAAATAGAATATAAGTTCAATTTTATCTATTTATTCTAATTAAATAATGTTAAACATGTCTGAATTTCTGAAATTAGTGACATTAATTCTAATATCCCATCTTTGTCTCAGCTCTAGGTATCCTTCATGAAATTTAGTCTAGTGAATAAACATGTTGGTTCATTAACTTTGCATAATAGAGTTCAAATCCTGGGCAGTACATACAGATTTAGTAGAAAAGGTGAGGGATACAAGATATATCCTTAGACATGGATAATGAGTTTGTTAATTTTTTTTTTTTTTAAAATAAAGGATTCATCAAGATTCCCTTAAGCTTTAGACCAAGGGTCGGCAGGCTGGATCCGGTCCACAAGCCTGATTACCAATGACTATTTTTTTTTTTTTTTTCTTCAAATGAAATTTGTCATTTTCTATAGAAAGTCTAATATTTTTAATGCACTGAGATGTAGACAATCTACCAGTTATATTTCATGAGACTTATTTTACCAAGTGGCATTGCCTACGTTTAATGTCAAATAATGGATACATATTTATGACCCTTGGTCACATTAAAAGGTTACAGAAGTGAAAGGAATGATAAAGTGAAAGAGGCCAGGGAGGGACTGACATGCAAGGTAGCAGAAATCTAAAGACGGTTAAACATACGCACATTATACATACATGCCTCATGAATGTGTGGATGACATCACATGTATACGTGCTTTGTTTGATGTGTGTGGTTCGTTTGTAGAACAATTTTCTAACAGTTTCAAACATACATACACATAATTTCATTTCGGTTGATATTTTTTTTTTTTTTCCCCCCTTTGAAGTATTTTGATGTTCCTTGAAGAAAACTAATTTTTGTTAGGTGTTTTTTAGATTTTGTTTTTCTGATTTCTTTATTTTCATTATGGTTTTAAATATTTAGGTTGACAGGGGTCTGCATATGTAATTTTTTCATCTGGCCTGCAGGGTCAAATGAGTTGCCGACCCCTGCTTTAGACAAATGGAATGGAGAACACAACTGCCAAAATACTGACATTAAATATCATTTAGCTTTTAATCTATTAAACTGTAGACAACTTTGTCTATCACTAAACTTTTTTTTTTTCAACTGTAACCAATATTTACCATTGGAAGTTTAAGTTGATCTGTATCAAATGCATTTTTACAGGCTCATCTGTCACATTTATACAAATTTGGATTTTTTTTTTTTTTTAGTAACCTGGGATTGAATTAATATCTTAAAGTCTAAAACTTTTGATACATGCAAAAGTGTTGACTTTATGCTATTTTAAAAATTGATCATAATACAAAAATTACCTGGACCCAGAGATTATATGGCAGTATTTGTCTCCCTGAAGGAAGAAAGACTCGTTATCCACAAATCTATTGGTAATTATTTCCTTACGGAAACATTTAGGACTTGCTGTCACTTGAAAGTTAAAATCTATTCGAGAAAATCGGTTTCTCTAGTTTAGTTACTGTTGATGCTCTTTCCAGTATTGGAGGTTTCCTTCCATGCAGAAGGTTATGTCAGTCTATGTTCAAGTTACATGTGCTACCAATTTTTAGTTGTTGCTGCTGTTGAAAATCCTCAAGTGATGTGGTTTGTTATCTGATGTCAAGCCTCTAAATACAGAACTTTTTTGACAAGTACAACAGATGAAGTATTAAAAAGAAATAAATTTCCATTGACAATAGCACATTTATTTCAACATGGATAACAAGATTTCATTTGACAAATTTGGTTCATGTAGAAAAAGAAACAGAACTTTGTACAACATCTGAATATTTTAAAGAGGAAAACAAAAAATGAATCTATCAGAGCCAAACAAAAATAGTTAACACAAAGTGGAGATGACAACTTATTTTCTTTACTTTTGGCTATCAAAGTTTTCTGATCTGTTCAGTCAATGATTTTTTTTTTTTTTTTTTAAGCCTGGAGAAGAAACCAGCTCACGTGGTGGGTGGTATGAATCATTGAATAGTAACTGTTAAAAAAGAAAACAGTAAAACAGGTTCAGAATTAAGTTTCAATTTCATTAGAAAATTTCTGAGCTGCCAATTTTATTTGTATACAAGTAAAATTTTAGATATTGCATAGAAAACACAATATCCAAAATATTATTAGAATACAAATGAAATTGGCAGCTAAGAATTTTTTTTTTTTCTTTAGAAGAGGGTTCATATTTTGCCAAGGCATCTCTGACTTCAAATTATTTTTTAACAAGATAATATAAAGACTCTTAGTTTTTGTGTGTGTTACTAGTAAACGTTAACATTGCAATATACCTATATTTTCCAGGTTGTTCACTATCCAAGTTTCATAAATTTGAATGTCCAATACCTTGGATCAAAATATTATCTTGATAATGACAAGAATACTTTAAAGAAAATTATTTTAACCAGTTCTTACAAACAGAACCAAACTCCATAAAAAATAAAATAAAGTTTTTTTCTTTTTCTTTCCTTATAAAGACAAAAAATTCTCAGGGTTAGGAATGGAAAAGAAAAAGCATTTGAAAATAAGAGTCATCTCCCTTGACGGGCTCCATCGCTTCTACATCGTACTAGTACAGAGTGACGGGATGGAGTGGAACGCTCCACAACCACCTATTCCTTGCTAGGAGAGCACGTAGCTGGCCCTAGCATTCTGTCTCTGTTGGATTACGGAGAACACCAGAACGGCCACATACATGCCGGCAGCAATGAAACAATTTAATGCCGCTTGTTGGTACTTTGTGTTGACAAACTTCTCAGAATAATCATGTTCAGACCAAGACTCCAGAGGCAAGTCTTCAAAGAATGCAGGACTTCGAATATGAAGGAAGACTCCCATGAGGGACTGAAAGGAGAGAAAAAAAAAAAAAAAATTATAGTCACTGTTGAATAACAAAGGATTTAATTATTTTCTTAGTTCTAGAAGATGGGGGTGGACTAACAGGAAACACTAATTATAATTGTAATGGGGGTTCTAGGAAATAGAATTTCCAGGTCTCCATTATAGGCATTAGTGTATCCATGATACAGAAACAACACAGAAAAGAGGATCAGAATAACCAAAAGAAAGGAATGACTCATATGCATTATTCTCAGAGATTTTATATAACACTATACCATACAAGATATTATATACAAATAGGCATCTACATGTTACTACTTATCCTATAAACTGAAACTATAAAACATGAATATAACAAGCAGTGTGATCAAGTAAAAAGCAAGAGGGTTTTATTTGTAATATTTTTTTTTAAAGAGAAAACAGCCAGGCCAGTGGTGTCCTATGTTCCTGTTGAGTGTTTCCCCGTGCATGTATTGAAATAAGGACAAACACATACATAGGGAAAAATACTGGTATATCTGAAGAAGTATTTACAACAGAGAGATTAGTAGTCAGAGTATAAAGTCCAACTGTATCTTCCGGTAGAGAGACGGAAGTGTGATGGTCACCTGATCTCCCAGAACTCTATAGAACTGTCCTATTAGTAGTAGAGAGATGTCCATTCTGATGAGAAGGTGGGTGGCCCCAACAGTTCCTATTCGGTTTGCTCTACTGTTG